ACGAATTATAAACGATGAGTCTAATTTAAAAAAATCTTCAACAGATTATTTAAAATTAAAAAAAAAAAGATTTTGAAGATCAATAAATGGTTTTTTTATTAATACCTTTAAGATTAAATGTTTATAAGTGAGAAAAATAATATTTAATTAAATGTACTGAAATTCTTATAATATTATACACAATGTTATGATTTTCAAAATAAAGAAGTTGTTGGAGTTGAATGTAATTTTTTTAGATATTTTTATGAAAATTAATTAAAATAGTCATTTTTAGCTTGTGGTTACACCTCTTAATCATTTCTTTTTTCAAAAATCACCAACATTTCAATAGGTCTGCAAGTCCGCAATTTATGGAGGGATAAAAGTGTAAAAAAGTTTATGAACTAGGTCCACAAGTGTAGGGACCAAATTTGTAAAATAAATATAGGTATGGAAGTGTTGGGACTAATTTATAGATTTGGTCCATGTACTTGTAGACATGGTTTAATTTTTGTTTTTTTACACTTTAACTCCTATGCAAATTGCGGACTTAATGACATTTTGGTGATTTTGGGAAAGAAATGACTAAGAGATGAAACCAACATTTGAAAATGACTATTTTAATTAATTTACCAGATTTTTATTTCTTATTCCATATTTTAATGGTTGAAGCATAACTGGTTACCATGCTGAAGTGACGAGTGATGTGATATGTGGTTAATACTTCAGCAAATAATACCATGTTGGATAAGACATTAACATAATAATTGGTTAATGCTTCAACCGGTTATTCGGGTATTTAAATGTTTAAAACTTTACATCTTAGGTATCAAAATAAAAGTTTTAAAAGTACGTTATCTAAAATAAGAATCAAGTTAAAGTACGTTATTTTTTCATGCAATTTATCCATTGATTTTACTTGTAAAGTTATATTTTGTGTTTAAAAATATTTTATATTTGTGTTTTTAAAGTAATATTTTTTTGTTTTTATTCATTTTGACGTAAATACGATAAATTTATTGGAATTTTCTTTTTTGCAGTGGCTAATATACTCTTCTTAGAATCGCCGGCCGGAGTCGGATTTTCATACTCAAATAAATCCTCCGATTATACCACCGGAGATACAAAAACTGCAATTGATTCATACACGTTTCTCGTCAATTGGTTGGAGAGGTTCCCGGAATACAAAACCAGAGACTTTTACATCACCGGAGAAAGTTACGCCGGCCATTACATACCTCAACTCGCCGAATTAATCCTTAAAAGCAACAACAACACCAATCGTACCTTCATCAACCTCAAAGGGATCTCCGTAAGTTTCATAACCTAATCCTATTCACAAATCATAATTTTTGAATTTTTGTTTACAAATTTCTGGAATTAATACTTTGAGATTTCAGATTGGAAATGCATACATCGATGATGAAACTCAAAATACGGGAACACACGATTTCTTGTGGTTTCGATCGCTGATTCCTGATGAGATCCATGAAGGAATAGTCGCGAATTGCGATTATTCATGGAATTCAAGTTTATCTAAAGCCTGTAAATCTTACCTACAACAAGAAGGTCTTGCTCAGGGAAACATCTTCGTTTACAACATCTACGCTCCCTTGTGCTCGAACGTATCTTCTTCCCAGGTAAATCTATGTTTCTGCTGGTAGATCCAGGAGTGTGTGTGAGTTTTACGCTACTTCGATTTGATGATGAAAACTTGATCGCATCTTTGCGTAAGCAGACGGATGGGTTTGATCCGTGCACTGATGCCTACATCCAAGATTACTTGAACATCCCTGAGGTCCAAAAATCGCTTCACGCAAATCTCACCGGACTTCCTGGAATTTGGGAAGATTGCAGGTAACTACGCTTAATTTCTCAAATCGCCATTCGGAATTTTACTTTTAGATCGAAGAGGGGTTTTAACGGTTTCTCTTGTGTTGTAGTGACAGCGTGTTCTATGATTGGCAAGACCAGCCGTTCACCGTCTTACCAAACATTAAAAGGCTCATGGCCACCGGCCTTCGTATTTGGCTCTACAGGTAACTCATACTGACGGAGTGTTCTAATTGTGGGTTTGAAGACATTTGCACAACCTAATTCAATGCTTGTGGTTTGAAAAATATTAACTCAACCCAAATTAAAGTGCAACCTAACCCAACTCAAGCTAAACCATATAGGTTGGTCGGGTTGATACTTTGGTACATTAAAGTATTCTTCTAACCTTGAATATGTTATTTGTCTACTTATAATTTCTTTTTCATCATCAAACATTTGATACAACATATTCATACCTTTTACGTATATCACATTCAGGTTAATTTTCTCAATTTACATATATATGTTCACAATTACTGAACATATATACGAATGAGTTATATTGAGGTGAGTATATTGAAAATATGTGTATATGAAGAGTGTACGTGATAATGTAATTGTCCAATGTATATGTTAATAGAAATTTAACAATCATATTGAATCCAAGAAATAAAAGGATATCAGGTTCATTAGGTTGGGTTGGGTTGGGTTGGATTCAAATAATAGTAATTCAATATTAACCCAATACCTACGGTTTGAAAATTTTACAACTCGATTAGACATCGGGTTGCTTCGGATTGAGTTATTTCGCATTGGGTTGAGTTGATCGGGTTGGTCAGGTTTTTGAGCACTCCTACTAGACACCATCTCTTTCTCTTCTGTGTATGTTACAACATCTATTCTCTCTTAAAAGTGGTTCGGTTAGAGAGTAATCTGAAGAGGTTTCACATATCTCACATGATATTAAAGTAGACGTGTTAGAGTCCCACATTGGCTAGACAAAGCCATTTTCAATTCTATATATACACACCTAAATTTTTTGTATTATTGTTTTATATCGACATACAATACGACAAGTGATCGTCCTTTAAATTGCAGTGGAGACATCGATAGCAGTGTGGCCGTGACAACAACTAAATACGCGATAAAGAAACTCAACACGACGATCAAGACACCATGGTATCCTTGGGACATGGACGGAGAGGTTAGAAATCGATACCTACGGCTTCAAATAGTTCACATTTTCGTGTTTTAATTTATTTGATTATTCATCGTGCTTTTATCGTTTTCGGGTTTTTTAGGTTGGCGGATACGTGGTGGGTTATGAGAACTTGACATTTGTGACCATTAGAGGAGCTGGGCATTTCGTACCAAGTTACCAACCTGCTCGGGGACTCGCTCTTATTTCATCGTTTCTTCTTGGAAAGCTCCCGCAACCGCTGGGTAGTAATGCTTAGAATTTCCTATTTTGCAATTGTAGCCATGATCTGTATCGTTCGATTGATGGGGGGTTTCTTGATGTTTTGTTGAATGTAGTTTGTTTTCTCGAAGGAAATTGCAATGTTTGCATCGATTATTAAATGGCTTTCGTTTTTTATCCATCAGATTATGATTCTTAGGTTTTGATTGTCAATTCCCTGACACAGTTCTATTCGTTGCAAAGTTATGATGTCCATTGAGATCAATCAGAGACGCTGTTTGGCCGTTGCTAAATGGTTTGGTACAGAATGATTAAGAGATTCTCATGATATAGTGCAAAATGAAATATAATTGTTTGGTAATTGTTTACAATAAAATTAAGGCTCTTAATGGTTAAGGGAGGCCTATGATACAAAATCATTCAGAGAGTTTTAGAACCATTAAGAGGCAGATTTTTTTTTTACTAAACAAGATTCATCTCTTAACGATTTAGAGGTTGCATCTTAATGGAACTATTAAGAGGTAAACAAACAACCCCTTAATTAAATAGGTTTCTTTTTACTTCTTTTGGTATTTTATACCATTAGAGTTTCACATTGACCAGACACGAAATATGATACTCGCATATACGTGGGACCCCTCTCTCTACAACTACAATGACTTTGAAATAGGATTCAAATAAGTTTCTCATATTCATGATTCAGATATGAAATCAGAACCGGCTTATTGACACAGGGGTTTGTATAATTATGAAAGCAAACCATAAATGTGATGTCTAATTGGTTTGAGCTTAAGCTCCAAAGGTCAAAAGTGATTGGAGGAATAAAAATCCCCTTTTGGCCACGAAAGTTCAAATGTAGTGACTCCAAGCTACCCGTAAAGCATGTGGTCACCCTGAGATTAGTCCGTTCGCATAACAGGTTAAATATCAAGGTTAATGAAAAAAAATTATGAAAGCATGAGCACGAGCATGATGATGATGATAGAAGATGATGAGTACATTCATTAGTAAAGGTGTAAAGCCATTCCAAAAGCAGAAAAGGCTCTTGTTGTAACCAAGTATTGTGGATCTTGCTTCAAGGATCCTTCTAAGACACCTAATGGAATCCAATCTACAACTCCAAAAATAATATATATAGAAAGTGATTTATTCAGTAAGAAAATTTTATGTAGAAAGTCAAGTTTTTTTTTCAATCATCTATTTCAATCAAAAAAACATTTTTTTATATGTAAAAAAACTCTCCCAAACAAAAATATTTCCAATCTATACATACAGATTAATTAATATAGACAACTTTATCCATACAGAACATATGAAAACCAAGCAAATAGCTGCTCTAGTCTAGCTTTTAGAGAAACATTTTTCCATTTATAATTGCTCGTCGTGTCCTTTATATGAATATCAGAGGCCAGGGAGCCATTCCATTGACTCGTACTGATGAGAATTTTACTCGGTGACATGGATAATTTCTTCTATGGTTTATCAATGTTTCTTGAATACTCTGAAGACTTTGGATATTTATATAACGTCTTTAAAAAATGTTTTCATATATGTGTAGTTTTTGAAAAATTAAAATGACTTTGCTTTTTTGCACGTGTTGGCTCGGCTTGGCTTGTGGTCCGAAGCCGGGGGTCCTCTTCTTCCTACCACTTTCTGCATCTCTTTTACGTGTTCATTTTGATAAATGGAGAAACCTTTCTCCAACTAATCATCCATCATCTCCTTACATGGAAGTACAGCTCATAACTCCGTCGCCGGCCGTCGACTTCAACTACGACAGCGCCTCCACTTCTCCATACGCCACCGCACCTTCAAGCCCTCAGTCCACCATTCCTTTCATCTGGGAAGAAAAACCAGGGATCCCCAAGCAAAATAATGATGATAATTGTGAAGATGATGTAAATGAAGATACGGATTTTGCATTCGGGAATTTGGAACGCCATTCTATCTCCGCCGCCGACGAGCTCTTTGATTGCGGCAAGATCAAGCCATTAAAACCACCACCACGTCTGCATTTCTCTAACGATTCCCCAAAATCACCGAAATCGCCAAAATTACGGTTCAAGGAAGCATTATCTCCACGGAGTAAGAAGAAGGATTTCGATCCTTTCTCTGAGGCATTAAAGCAAACATCTGGTGAGCAGACTCAACTCGAATCGCAACGAGGACGAGAACGAACGGAGAGAACCACCAGACACAAAGGATCTCGATCTCTGTCGCCATTCAGAGACTCTGATCTTGTAAACGATCAGAAAAACTCAACGGATCAATCATCACCGACGGCTTTAACGTGGTACAATAAGTGGAACCTCAAGAACCTGTTGCTGTTTCGAAGTGCGTCGGAAGGAAACGTGACAACCAGAAAAGATACATTGAAGAAATACACGATGCTAAAGAAGAACGATCGCGATGTCAAGACCTTTAGCTTCAGAAGCAACGATAGTGGTGGTAGTGGTGGTTCGCAGAAGGTGTCGGCCGATGAAATAAATTTGACGGCGAACAAGGCGGTGGCGGAGGAGATGAGGAAGAAGACAACCTTGCCCCATAAATCAGGGTTAATGGGGTGCTTAAGGTTTCATCAAAATGCAGGAAGCGTTCATGAGATCTCCAGAGGAATCAACTCTGTTATGAAACAACAACGACATTGAATTGAATAAAAAAAAAACTCAGACATGTCTGGTACATTATTGCTGGTACGATCGCACCTGAAATTATATCAGATTCCTTCTGATTCTTTGTTCATCACATACATGTAACGTCACGGTTTGTTCATGTTCTTGATAATTGTGTTTGTATTTGTTCGTGATTGTTGGATTTAAAATCCAACGAATGACACGTCTTCGGTTCTCGCATAAGAGTTGTATTTAACGTAACTCAAGTTGTACCTAAGCAAAAAAAAAACCGGTTTTTTTGCAGGATAAAAAAACCCCCAAAATTTACCGAGATTAACCAGAATATACAATCCGCTATGCGAACTGACTAATCCCAGGTTGACCATCTGCTTTGCAGATAACCCAAAGTCACCCATTTGAACGTCCGTAGCCACAAGGAAATTTTTATTTCTTATTGAATTTGAACGTGGAACCTCCGAATACTTTTGACTTTTGGAGTCAAAGCTTAAACCAATCAGGCACCACCCCTATCATTTATATTAGACTTTATAGTCAATGTTTATTCCACTATCTTTTATGGGACCATGAAATTATTTGGTCAATGGCGTTCATGTTGTACGTGGAAATGCTCAAAAAACCACCCTCCATGTCCTTGGCTTTATGTATATCGTCAAGAATTATATTATATATATATATATATATATATATATATATATATATGGATTAACCTGGATATTCAACTCACTATGCGAGCCGATTAATCTCAGGACGACCACTTGCTTTGTAGATAGCCTGGAGTCACTGCATTTAAACCTCTATGGCCACAAGATGATTTTTATTCCTCCTTAGATTTGAACCTGAGACCTATTAGTATTTTTTACCTTTGGAGTCAAGCTAAAACCAATCAGGCACCCCCTATGGTTTTATATTTATTTTGATCTGAAAAAATTTGTATATTACGTATAACTTAACGATGATATATTCGAGATTTAAAACTTGTACTTGAGATTTTTTGGTAAAAGAACCACCGTCAATTTTATCCACAGATGTATTCACGGTTTTAAAATGCATTTGATAGAAAAGATATTCAGTTACTTATAAGACGATAAATTAAGATTTATTGGTGTTGATAATGAATGGTATATAATATGAAATGGAATTAAATAAGACAAAAAGTGTGGGAAATTTGTGTCGATGGTTAAGGAGACCCACAGGAATGAGGTCAATTATTATGGTTTGCTTTTACCTCTATATATAATTTATATATTTATCCCTACTGCCTTTTTCTTTATAGCAAATAATTGTGTAGTTTGAACTCTAGATAAATAATTCAAATTGTATCATTTATATATATTATATATAGAGAGAGGTAGGGGGTTGGGTTCACGTGAAACCAAGATTTTTTCATGAGACATATAAGATCAATTTACGTTCATTGATTAACTTTATAAGCTAATGATCTAAAGTTGCACAGTAACAATTTTGTGATTATTGAGAAGTCTCGTGGCAATTTTGTGATTATTGAATGTTCAGATTGTAGATCTAATCAAAGGGTTGAGAATTGGTCATATGGGTCTCACGAAAAACCATTGGTCACATGATCCCAAGTCTATATATATATATATATATATATATATATATATATAT